TGTATTTGTTTCATTTTTTCTACATCTTCTGCCCATGCTAAGCTGTGTCTATAGACCTTTCCTCTGTCTTCAGGCAATGGTTCTCTACTGGGTTATGCATTACAATCAAATGGTTAACATTTGAGGGCTAGGCATGACGGCACACACCTGAAATTCCAGCATTTGAGAGGCTGACACAGAAAGGCCATGAGTTCTAGGCCAGCCTGACCTGGCTGAGAGTGCAACACCAACTCAGACTTCTCAGAAATGGAATCACTGCCCATCATGTAGGAGCAGGACCTAAAAGCCAGCAGTGAGCAGAAGGCAGGATCAGAAAGCTCACAAGTGGAAGGCAGCCTCCATATACAGTGAGCACTGAGCTAGCCTGGACTATCTGAGACCCTGTCTGGAAGGAAGGGAAAAGGAAAAAGGAAAGGGAAGAGGAAGGTAGGGGGAGAGAAGGGGGAAGGATATGATAGGGAACGGTGAAGAGAAAGGACCAAAATCTACATTTACTAAAATCTCCAGGTAGCCAGTTTCTATGGCCACACTGAACTGAAGATTAGAACAACCAGGGGTGCTTTACAGAAAAACAGGAAAGAAAGAAAGACAGACAGACAGACAGACAGACAGACAGACAGACAGACAAACCAGCCACACACTTCTGGATTCCTAGTCCTTACTACCAGAGATTCGGACCTTAATTAGGCTGGTTTGCAGCCTGGCTCATACCTGACTTCACTGACAAGAGTTTACCAAGGCAGCTAAATTACTAGATGATGCCCACTAATGCAGAAAGCAGCCTCTTTGATGGGTTTCAGAGCCCCAGAATTAGACAAAAATTAAGAGGTTCACAAGCCACAGGTTCACAAGGCACACTTCCTCTATAAAGGGCTCTACATGAGTGTTTTAATCCTGAGATATGCACTGACTATCACAATTATTCAACCCTGCCATAAATGTAAAACTCAAAAAAAAAATGAATAAAGCTGTGTTCCAATAAAACTTGACCTGAAAAATCAATAAAAAAAAATAAAAGCAAGGAACTAGATTTGGCCTGTGAGCCATAGTGGGCTTCAAGAGTGACTTTCTAACTGACTGCTGGCTTCTCTGATGACACAGATCTAGAGTTGGGGCCGAGGCTTTGAAGGACCAACAAGTTCACAGGTGATGCTAGTGCTACTGATGTGGCTGGGCCGGGGACCACTATTTAGGAATCAGGATCTCTGATGGACACATAAACCCACAGAGACTGTGGCAGCATGCACAAGGTCAGCACAGGTCCAAGCCACATGGGGTCCCAGCACTACAAGGGGGAAGGAGACGTGAACTCTCATCCTTACCCAAGAAGCTAGCTCCAGCTGCTGGTGGCGCACGCCTTTAATCCCAGCACTTGGGAGGCAGGCAGATCTCTGTGAGTTCAAGGCCAGCCTGGTCTACAGAGCAAGCTCTAGCAGCCAGCGCTTGTTACAGAGAAACCCTGTCTTGAAAAACCAAAAAAAAAAAAAAAAAAGAATTTTGATATAGATGTAATCAATAAATGAAGACCAATTTACTACATACATACAAATGTCACACATTAGATGTTTAAAACTGTGATAGACAGTTTTATAGACAGAAGCTACCAACAATTCTCCCATGCCCATGCCTGCAGAAGCATGTCACTGTACAACCAAGAGTTAGACTTTATTCTCTTATCTTGAACTTGGCCTGACTGTGAATCTTGCTTTGATCAGAAGATTGCAGCAGAAGGGGAAGCAATGTGACTTCTAGACCTTGGTTTTAAGAAATAAGAGGTGGAGGCTGGAGAGATGGCTCAGCGGTTAAGAGCATTGGCTGCTCTTCCAGAGGTCCTGAGTTCAATTCCCAGCAACCACATTGTGGCTCACAACCATCTATAATGAGATCAGATTCCTTCTTCTGATTTACATGAAGACAGAGCACTCATATACATAAAATGAATAAATAAATCTTTTTTTTTTAAAGAAGAGGTGTAGACACCGAGCCAATGCCAGCCAGTCTTCATACCAGACATGTCGACTCCTCTAGCCACAGACAAGCCAACAGCAGAACCAAGAGCAGAAGCTAGCTGCCACTTCCCATCCCACCCCAGAAGCAAGAGTGTGTATTTCTAGGGAGCCCAGTATGGGGAGTGCTGGTCAAATGCCCTCAGACACTGTCAGCCACACAAGACATCGATGGTTATGTTTTGTAAAAACCTTAAGAGCTGAAAACCACTTGATAGAGTTGGGGTTTCCGGCTGTGAGCTCTATTTTGATGTTGTTATGACTTCCTCTGCTAACAGAGTTAAGAGAGGAAGTTTTCCTTTGCAAAGCTATATTCCTTCATCCCTCCATGTTTCCATTTTGAATTTCTTTAGTCACAGCTCACGACCACCGCTTGTTGTTATTTCTCCCACTTTCTCTAGCAGTGGCAGCGCACACAGCTGACTCCCCGGCAACATTACCCGTGCTGGATAATTAATTCTATTGGAGGAAATGGATCTTTACGTCAGCTGTTACTTCTCGGTATTTTCACCTGGCTTGGGATGAGAGCTAACCCAAGCATTCCCTCATAAAATCTTGTTCTTTCTTGTTTTCAGTTATTGAAAAAGTTACATAAGCAAATGAAACTAAATACATATATTAAATCTTCTTAGGAGGAGTAGAGTTTATATCTCAAAATCTTCTTTGAAAATTCCACTTTCTAATCATACATGCAAACAACACTTGACTGACTAAAGTAAACTAATATTTTGTTTTCTTTACTAAATAATTTTTTATATTTCAATATAATTTATTTAAAACATCTCAACATAGAATTGTATGCACATACATACAAACACTATTACCACCTTCTGGGTGTATGGCATGCACTATTGCATTTCATAATTCATTTCATACGACCTGCTAAGCAGGTCTATCTGCACCACACTGAACAACTTTTCATTAATTATACCCAGAAGACGAATACAGTAGTTCAAAATTATCTCCTTCAACCTGAATCTTTTTGTCTCAAAAAGATATTAAATAAATCAATGGTGACAAAAACTTCAACTCCAAGTGACTATTTCATACCAAAAAGATATACAGGTGAAAAGATACATCTATATAGATATGCATGCTCTAAGCTTCTGCAACGTAAGACAAGAAACAACGTTCTTCCGTGAGACGGGAGACCACAGCACACCGAGCACACTGGAGACCACACACAACAGCACACTGGAGACAACACACAACAGCACACT